CTCTCTCTTCTCTCTCTCTCTCTCTCTCTCTCTCTCTCTCTCTCTGTCTGTCTCTCTCACACACACACACACACACACACACACACACACACACACACACACACACACACACACACACACACTCACACTCTCACTCTCCTCCTCCCTCTCTGTCTCTCTCTTTTTGTTCCTCTCTCTCTATATATATATATATATATATCTCTCTCTCTCACACACAAACACACAAACACACACGTACACAGACACACACATACACACACACACACACACGACACACACACACACACACACACACAAACACACACACACATACACAGAGAGAGACACACGCACAATGGCATTCAGTTCCATACTCTGATGTTCTTACATTTGACTGTAATAGCAAGTCACTAGGGACAGAGTATAAAGAGACGTAATTACAGTTGATCAATTCCTCAGTACCACAGACCCACCGTTCAAGCAGAAAGGAAATGAAGAAAGCCCCGTCCAGACTTCTACGTGTGTGTAAGGCCAAGGAAGTTTAGTGGAAAAATAAACGTTTTTTTCCTTTAATTTGAAAGGCCTTGGCTTACAAATATTATGTATGTATCTCTATTACTATTAGTTACAAAGTTCTCATTTCTAATATTAATTTAATTTTGGGCCAATTATTTGGGCTATTTTGTTGCTGTTGTTGTTGTTGTTGTGTGTGTGTGTGGTAGCCTATCTGTTCGAAATGTTCGGACCCACGAAGAGTGTGCTCTTCGCCAGGGCCACCGCCTCCCTTGGGTAGCGGGTAGGCCAGGGCAAGATCGACTCTGGGATCGATTCTTTCGAGTCCCAATGAGGACTCAAAGAATCGATCTTGTTCCCAGACTCTAAGCTTCGAGTCCGCCCAGGGTCGATGCCTCCCGTCTCCTTTTTTTTAGCCTGGTTCCTAGCCTAGACTCCGAGACGAGAATCGAGGCAAGAATCTAGATCTCTACCGCACTAGACCTATTACAATCCTGTCGAGTTTTTCGCTTCAAAACAGACACCGCACCAGGACAGGACTGATCCGGCGCATAAGGCGGCTTCTTTGATGTCGGCCTAGGCGGAGTTAAAAATGCATTCCAAAATTGTCTTAAATATTGATCTAATCTAAGAAATAATAAGATTTTCGTGATCAGCGACCCAAAATTAGCCAAAATTACCCGGGGAACCCAATTTAAAGCCCGATTACCAAGTTAAATTAATTTTTGTGAGTTTTGTTTACTTATGTTTTTGTTTTTTTTTTCACTATTTGAATTTGGCGTGCACTAGGCCTTGATACATGTATATATTCAAGACTGTGTCTTCAAGGTGGATGAATCATAGAGTTACCCCCTTTTAAACTATCGAGGTTGCGTGTGCCTGTGCTCTGTTGCTTCGTATTTGAAAAAAGAGAAAGAGAAAACAGTATTAGGTCATACTGTCCCACCGATGTTGTAGTAATTCACAACTGCTCGGGACTCAATGAAACAAAAATGTCACGTCCCAATAATAGGTGCGGTACAAGACACTCTAGTTCAAAGGTTTCAATCGTCAGACGGGTCGGTCCCGGGACGAACTTTCGTAGGCCTAGTGAAGTAGGGGCAAGAAACTACCAGTCAGTCACTATATCAATTGTTTCACGCAACCCCCCCACCCCACCCCACCTTCCTCTTCCTCTTCCCCGCTATGAGTGAATGCTAAACTAGGCCTAGGCCTACTTGTCGTGTCTACCGTGTAACCCAGTACGAAACCACGCTGCACATAGGCTACTGCTACTTTGAATGTTATTGCCCCACCCCCGCCCATCCCAAATTAAATCATTCACTTCCCTTTTCTCTTTCTTTTGTCTTGAACATTAAACGCTTGCTTTCGAATTTCCCTTCACGTTCATCTTCACTGTGCACGTATTCTTTTGTAAATCATATTGTGTGTTTTGAGTTGGTATCAATGAGTTATCATGCCTGGACGTCGATCTTTAGCTTCGGACTTTTTTTTATAAGCTGGAAAACACAGTACTGTTGTTTGTATGATTTGTAATAATATTTTGGCATACAATAACACAACGTCGACAATAACAAAACATTTGTCATCAAAGCATGCTTTGACGTATCAGGAAGCAAAGGGTGCAAGAGAGAAGGAACCTGTGCCCCACGCATTGGCAAGAGTGATAGAAGGGAGGCAACACACACACACACACACACACACACACACACACACACACACACACACACACCCAAACACACACACACACGACACACACACGCAAACACACACGACACACACACACACACACACACACACACACACACACAAATGCGTGAAAGCCAACTGTCTTAGCACGCGCGCAGGCTTAGCCAGCCACTTCTGTCAAACTCGAGAATCGAGGTCTCGATCTTAAGAGCTATTTTTAGCAGTGTTCAAGACTCGAGGTCTCGATCTTAAGAGCTATTTTTAGCAGTGTTCAAGTCATGGCCTCTAGGCCTAAACAGCCCACTTGAAGCAGCTTCCAAAATCTAAAATCGGACTCGATTCCTCGATCTTTTTTCAGTTTTGGGATCGAGGCCTCGAGTCTTTTTGTCGTCGATCTTGCCCTGGCCTAGTCTTGAGCACTCCGAATGCTCCCTTTGATACCATCATACGAGTACGAGTCATCGTCATAGAATCTAGATCTAGATATAGATCTAGTTCGCTGTTCATTGCCGAAACGAAAAGAACGGGCCGCCTCCACCAAATCAAGTGCTGACTAGTGACTGTCGGTGTCGGGCGTTAAAATGGTTCTACCCTAATGCTTT